ACCATGACACCTGATCTTCCTTCCCTTTGCTTCCATACTGACACAGTTTTGTCTTTTCTAGGTCTGGTCCCACTTACTGTCTCCCTTGCCAAACCATCCTGGCACAAAGGGAGCTGATTCTCTTGTCTTTCACTTAGGCATGAACTAGTTGATCTTTGTCAGTTTTGAACAAAACCCATCACTTTCCACCTACTTGCTATACATAGCAATTGAATCACTTAGATTGTTCTCCTATTGTGCTTCTTTCTACGGTATTTTTTTCTTTCACAGACCATTTCTACTGGTCTGTGACTGCTTTCCTTTTGTCTCTTCAATTAAAGAAACTGTATACAGCACAGTTCTCGCTGTACTCGCTCCATTCAGCTCCCAGCTTCGCTGATGCTTATCATCAGGTAGTAAGAGTCCCAAGTGAGGACTTAGTGTGAGTTGCTTGTTTGAAGACTACTTATCCATATCCCTGACTACTGAAGATCAGCAAGCTAGATGTTTCTGTTCTTCAGTACCATTCCACTGCTGTTTGGCCTGTGTATGAATTGCTTCCACTATCTGCACAAGACCCCAGAATTTTCTGTTTCTTGAAGAATGTTTTAACACTAAGCATTCTGAGTTAAAGTGATATATATAGGCTTAAACCTATTTTTTGTTCATTTTCAAAAGATATATTCATTATGTATACAGTGTTTTGCTTGTATTCCTGCAGGTCAGAAGAGGGCACCAGATCTCATTACAGATGGTTATGAGCCACTATGTGGTTGCTGGGAATTGAACTCAGGACCTCTGGAAGAGCAACCAGTGCTCTTAAACTGTGAGCCATCTCTCCAGCCCAGTTTCGTTTTTCATACAGGATTTCTATGTGTAACAGTCCTGGCTGTCCTGCAACTCACTTTGTAGACTAGGCTGCCCTCTTACTCAGAGGTCTGCCTGCCTCTGTCTCCCAAGTGCTGGGATTAAAGGTGTGTACCACCACCGCCCAGCTTTTAAACCTATTTTTATAAGCTATACGGCATTATGAATTTGAATGTTAGTTTTGATTCATGAGTTTTTCTTCTTCTGGAGGATTCAATTATAAATGTGTTGGGTCTTCTCCATCCCCTATACCTCTTTTTTTTTCTGAACATTTCACCTTTTTATTATTTTAATCCTGTGAGTTTTCGTTTTCCATGTCCATGTCTTCTTTGTATGCCTTGTTGAATTTGGACTCCCTTGTATCCCTTGTAAGTTACTTCTTAGGACCTTTGTCTCACTTTGTGTTCCTGTATCATCTCTCATTTACAGCTTCCTTATCGTGTCCTGCTCAGGACTGCATTTCTGATTTGTGGTGCTTTTGTCTGTTGTTGCTTCCCTGGTTGGCTCGTTATTGGAGTGGTGGACTACAATTCCCTTCCTGCTCTGAAGTTGGGTCATGGATGGTCTTTATAAGCTATAGAATCCTATTTTAGACTCCCGACTTATTTCCTCTTAAAAATAATTTTGTAGAGTCTTGGAAAGATGGCTCAGGGGTAAAGGCAACACTTGCTGCCAAGCTCACGTTTGATTTCAATCACCCACATGATAAAATAAGAGAACTCTAAGACAATCCTGCAGACTTGTCTTCAGACTTCTACATTTGAACAGAGGCACCTACACCCACACACATTTTAATGTGTGGGGGCTAGTGGATACTTTTTCTGCTTGTTCAAAATGTTGGACTTTCCTGCACCAGGTGTTTCTACTGCAAGGATGAAGCCTTACTCAACAGCACCCTCTCCTGTTGGTGCACTGAAATATTTATTTTTTATAGCACTGTTCATTAACTTCAGATCTAACTATGTGGTACCAGATCCTTGAACATGCTATGGAGACAAAGCTACACACAAAGCTACAGCCCTGGGTCCCTCAAATACACTACTTAATGAACAGTACCTTTGGGGGTAATGTTAGGGAAAGTTCGGTGTCTTAGATTCCATGGACTCTTTGTTCTATGGGTTTTTATATAAATCCTATCTATTTCTACAAGGGCTCCAGAGCTGGTACTGAGCTCCGATATTTCCCCATCCAAATAAAAATTTGCAGTATTGTGTCGTAGCTCTATGAGTTAAATACAATTTTATCCTGCTTTTGTTGGCTTTATTTTTTTTAAGGATGTATGGATTCAGATTTAAGTAGCTATTGTTTTCAGAGTCCTCATTTTCTTGCCAAAACTTGTACATACCAATATTAATTTTTAGGAATTAAATTTTAGGAAATTGCATAATAGGTCTAGTTTATTGGGGTTCAAACTAAAGAAACTAATTTTTTTTTCAGATAAGACAAGGGTCAGCGAGATGGCTCAGACAGTAAAGGTGCTTGTTACTAAATGAGTTTGATCTTTGGAAACACAAATGGTGGGGGGAAGAACAACTCCACTCACAATACACACAATGGTGTGTTGTGTGTGTGTTTGTAGGGGGAAAGACCAAAACAAGTAAATGAGAAAATAAGGGGAAATTTAAATAGAGAAAATGGTTTTCTCAGGTCTAAGCAATTTTATGCTTCCTTCTTCTCAGAGTATTGTGGAAAGGACCTATGAGCCATGTATCCACGGTTATGTTTGTCCTGCAATCACTTAGTCATCTGAAATGGTATACTTAATGGTGTTACAATCAATGGATCTACACTGTTGGTATATATAGACAATCTCCAGGGACAATCAATGGATCTAAACTGTTGGTCTATATAGACAATCTCCAGAGACAGTGGATGCTCTGGCTTCATAGAGCTGCATTTGGCATCCATCTCTATTCCTGATTACTCCTTGTCGGGCAATTGTGTTCTCTCCAGATCCAAGCCTTAGATGGCCAGATAAAGAATGTCAGCACCTGCCGGGCGGTGGTGGCGCACGCCTTTAATCCCAGCACTCGGGAGGCAGAGGCAGGCAGATCTCTGTGAGTTTGAGACCAGCCTGGTCTACAGAGCTAGTTCCAGGACAGGCTCCAAAGCCACAGAGAAACCCTGTCTTGAAAAAAAAAAAAATGTCAGCATCTCTCCATGGGAGGCTTTCCTGGCTTGTTAAAGGGACTACCCCCAGGACCCTGGCCAGGAGAGAAGCCTGACAGAGAACCTGATTGTTTAGTTCCTCATCAGTTGATTTCTTACCATCTTGACCAGGACCCAGAGTACCAGGATAATGGGAGTCAGAAAGAGGAAGAGCTGAGCGGTGGGCAGTGAAGTCCCTTAAACCACTGACTGACCAAGTGGACAGGCTTGACCAAATCCACCAGTCTCGGGTCATCATGAGCAACTGCTGTGTGGCCCACTGCCTGGCATCAGACAGCCCACCGTATCTCCCCGGGATCCACATCTATGCTCACACTTAACTAGTCACCAAGACGACTCTCCTTCGTCGCGTCCTCTCTAAAGTCTCAAATTGGCCCACGAGGGATCTGCTACTTGGCCAACTTAAAATCTGAAATGGCAAATACGCACGAACTACAGGTCTGTCTGGGGAAAGCGAACAAGTGGGCGACGACAAGCCACAGGAAGGCAGTGGCGGCAACAGGTTAGCAGCAGTGGCTCCCTGTTGTCAGAGGTCATCATCCCACCTTGTCTCATGCTCACCCCCATTTTCCCATCTCGCTCCTCACGTCCTCCTGGGAATGGTTTCCTTTTCCTGCTCCTCTTACTCTAATCGTCCCCTTAACTGAAGTCTCTTCTCAGTTCAGATCTGCGGCGGGGTGACTTTCTGTCACGCCAATTGGACATCATTTCTGGCAGGTATTCTTACACTGTCTCTCACCAGCAAAGTGCAAGGCCTTCCCCAGCCAGCCTCGCCTGTCTCGCAGGTGGTCTCTGCCTGTTGTGCACACCCAAACCTCCCTGCACACTCTACCGCATCTGCCTAGATGTTCTTTCTGGCAAAACTCAGCTCAAACATTAACCATTCTCCTTAGCTAAGAGGTCTCCCAATGAATAGGTTAATTGTAACCACTCATGTTTCTCCAGACAACTGGAGAGTCAGGGGCGAAGATTTATATTTGTATCCTTAGAATCTAACGAAGTTTGACAAAGAGAAATCAGTAACAACTGAATGGCAAATCGCACTCCTGGGCCCAGCTCCCTTAGGTTATGCCATCCTGCAGTAATAAACCCAACCCAGAGCCAGCAAGATGGCTCAAAAGGCAGAAGTGCTTGCCATCAAACCTGACCGCCCAAGTTTGATCCCTAGGACCCACACTGCGAGGGAGAGCTGGCTCTCACACATTGTCCTCTGACATCACTGCAGTGCAACAAGTATTTTAGAAACTAAGTTAAAGTGTCTACAGTCTTTAAAAACCAATTTTATTTTCAGATACTACTCGCCCAGTATGGACAGGGTATATCTTTGCTCTAAGTTTTCCCTTTTAAGAGTCCCAAGGCATTGTTCACCTCACTAGGATTTCTGACTCTTCCATTGTCAGCTCTGAAGTGGCACAATTTTGTCTACCCTTATTTCAGTGACATCAGCAAGGCAAGTGTCCAAGTATGAAGAAGCCCAGAGAGAAGGGCTGTGAACTCCTCCCCCAATGAGGGAGCGTGGGTGTCTCAGCCATCTGACAACCTGCCACATAGCCATCCTATCCAGATGGCCTTCCCCTGCCCTTCCTAAGGACATGCATGGGTTTAGAACTGGCTTCCAGATGGTTTCAGCTACTGGAAGCCCCCCCCCCCCCAGGAGAAGGCCATACCAGGGTTGCGAAAGGCCAGTAGGTACTTCTTTCATGGCCCAAGCTCCCACCAGACAACATTACAAAGGGCTCTGGCTCCAGCTTCTGTAAAAACAAAACTAACGAGTAAAGGGCAGGACAAACAAGGAACATAAGGGAACAATAGCAACAGCAGGAAAGCGAACAGGACCGGAAGCACGGTTTAGGTTACATTCACTGTTTGCCTCGTTTACACGTTAGAGGCAACTGTGGCTAACGGAAAAGCCATCACGTGGCGTAAACAACCAAGAGCAAACTCCTGAAAACTTTAGTGTATAAACAGCCACAAACACTAAATGAACTGATTGCATCAAGCAGAAAAACGTTTATTTCTATCAAATTGAATACAAATCGATCTTCAAGCAAGATAACAACAACAACAAAAAAAGCCAATTAATACAATGAAGTTAGGCTAGCATATACTGAACACGTTCAGATACTCTGAATTAAGTATATTCCAAAATCAGGAACACAGACTGTCACACTAAAGAAAAACAGGCCCATCGGCTCCTGGAAAAAGGAAGCCATTTTTCACAGGCCAGCGAACAGAAGACGGGTGGTACTGGGTTAGAAGACTGCCGTGAACTTTGGGGGATCACAGTGAAATGCCATCATAGCGCAACATATTCCCCCCAGAGATCTGTCCACCTCAAAAACAATAAATTCAGTAGTACAAATTCTCAGAAAACTAGAAAAGCCTTGAGCCCTAACATCGCATGCAGTTTCCACAACGACAAAATTTTCTTCCCTTCTCTCTCATCCCAGAGAGGTAATGACCCTTTCAAAAGTTTGAAACAAAGATCTTTTCTTGCAAGACGCTTGTGCTTCCTACAGTTTTCTGTCACTAGAGATACAGTCTATATGAATGCTATCTGGGCCAATAGCAAGCATAGCCTGTCTCCTTCACACTCAACTACTTACAGAATGGCCAGACCATGACGTGCCCGGGCACAGGTGATAGCATTGATTCTGCCAAGAACTGTTCGGTTTACCACACCAAAAAATAAGGAATAGCATGTATGGATAACTTTTAGGTTTTAACAGATGGCAGGTGTTCTTCACATGGGATGCATGGCTTCTGATACCTGAATTGAGGCCAGTCAGCCTGGGTCCAAACCCAGCCTTGTATTGTAATTAGAGGCCTCTTCTGGCAAGTTCCTTTGCCTAAGCCACTCCAATGATGTCTGCCACTCTTCCAGAGCCCACAAGCAGAACTGGGGGGCGGGGGGTGCTTAGGGCGAGACAGACAGCTAACATCCAATAAAAGCCTGTGGTTTCTGAAGCAGGAAAACCTGGGAGTGGGTCATAGCTGTACTGTTCACTTGTATCAAGAGCCTGGGCAAGACTTCCTAAACTGGACTCCTTGTTCATAGGAAGGATTGGTTGTGTCTACCTCATGGGATGCTGGGAAGAGTCACCAAGATGCTTAATGGAGGTCCTGAGAGTAAACAATGCACTCAGAAGGCCTCCTTCGTGGCACCATTTTTTGTCATAATGCTAGAGGAACCGACATGCAGGGTTTCCCAAGCTCTAATCAAAAGGGTGGTGGGAGGCAAACTGAACAAAGAACTGGGCGGAGCCTGTGGACTAAGGTCAGCGTGGAATCTCAGAAACCACCCAGACTCTTGGCAGACTCTTGTCTGAGGGACAGGCAGGCAGGGATGGGAAGGACAAGATGCTTCTTTCATTCTACCTGTCAAGGTATTTTCAGTATCAGCGCCCTTCTGACAAAGTCATTTAAACAAAAGAACAGGCAAATCTGGTGCGGAAAACCAGATGTCCTTTTTTCGGCCAATGAACGTGTAAATCAGCAAAGACCTTGGAAAAGGCATTTTTGCCTCTTCCTGGTCTCACCAGCAGACAGACACTCCTGACCCCTAGTGTCCCACAGTGCCTAGCTACCATAGACTACTGAGCTTGAAATGCAAACAGAAAAAGATGGAAAGACAGAGTGTGCAGGCAGCGACCTGGTCACACCTCAATCTTTAAAAGAGGTGAAGAAAGAAGTTGGAAGTTACTCCCCCCCCCCCGCCCCCAGTTACCTCAAATTCCTTTAAGTTTCTACTTCCCTTGGTTTGTGGAAATAATCTCAGGGTGATCCTCCTCTAGACAGCAGTTTCCCATGCCTGACCTGCCTCCCCTGACCCCTACCAAGTGACATCCAAATGCAAGCTTCCAAAGTAGTCGGCATCAACATGACAGCGCCCACGTGGTCACAGGCCTGAGCCAGGCGTCTTCACTTGGGAGCATGCGGAGGGATGCTGTTCTGCATTGCCTTGAAGGCAGCTGAAGAACATGCACAGGGGAGGACACTGAGAGGAGCCACAGAGTCCAGGCAGTACAGTAAGGAAGACAGACTCATCACCACACAGAACAGACCGCAGTGAATGGACCGGGGATCCACAGACACCTTCAAAATGCAATATATCAACACCACTAAAGTGCTACGCCCACCCCACACCCTGCCCCCACAGACTATGAGATGTCACACTAAATCACCAGGACACTCCCTGGGGGACAGGCGGGTGTAGGACACCTTAAGGCAGCAAGAAGAAATGTCACTTCTCTTCCCAGAGAAGAGTAAGAATTATACAAGGTGGCCAACAAGTCTGGACACCAGGGAAGTCTTTTAACAAATGTTTTATTGACATGATGATTGACAAAATATTAGCATCTTCATTTCTGGACTTTGCGGCCACCTATAGACTGCATCTTTGGAAAAGGAAGAAAACAAAGATTCTGCGTTCCCACAGCGGTAAAGCTGTCTTACTCAGTGTAGGTGCAATGTACAGCTAGTGCAAGACTCTCTAAGCCCACAGGCTTGCTCCCTTTACTGACTTCTTGCCATCTGCTTGGATCACTCGCGAAAAACACTGTCAGCAGTAATACTTAGCAGCACGTTCAATATTCACCTTGCCTTGAATGAAGAAGCTGAAACCATCTCATTAGTCCAGTGATTTCCACACGATCACTACTTCTATGCAGAAGAGACGACCATCCCACATTTCCTTAAGTGAACATTTCCCTTGTTTGTTTGTTTTTCCCTTGAGAATTCCCAAAAACTTCAGGGAATCGTTTTTAGTCGTTTTTAAACAACAGAAGGTACAGAGTGGGTTCAAGACAGTCAGAGCAGCCGTTTCACAAGATGAGCACTCTGCCTGGCTCAGTTCCCCTGGTTCTCGGTCTGTAGAGAGAGGAGGTTAGGGGGATAAAGGCAGAGACTATGGTGTTACCAAACAGCTTATGAGGAGAGCAAGCAGATGAGATAGGACACGGTCAGCAGAGACTAGGATGTCAGAGGGTGGAACAGTCGCCGTGGAGAAGCAGTGGCTGAGCGCAATTAGCATCAATTCAATTATCATCAAGGAGGGCGTGGTGGAGGACAAGCCAGGACCACAGCTCTCCAAGTTCTCAGGCTTGACAGTGCTGTGGTTCAACAGCCTGTGGAAGGTGGCAGGGACCAGACACTCCACCACCATCGTGTGCAAAAAGATTCCGATAGCAGCGCATGGCTGCAACCCATCTAGAGTATGGGCTCGACACTGGTGGAAATCCAGTCTGGGCTTTCGCCCCTGCAGAGCTCTGCGTTCTTTTTCAAAGGCAGGAGGAGGGTATCTTCATGGATGCTTTCTACCCACTAGGTTTTCCTCATTACTTCATTCACTTAAACTAGAGAAGATGCTGCAAGCTATCTCAGCTAGCTCCTAATTTGGCCAGGGCACCAGGACTACACGCATGACTGAGTGAACGACCACGTCTTCTTGGCTCTTCCAGGGGCAGGCTCAGTTTGCTTCTCTGGACCGAATAGGTGCGATCTTGTTTGAGAAAAGTGTGTAAACGTAGGGCCATATTTTGTTCGTCTCCGTCCCGGAGAATTGGTGGAGCACTCCGCGGCTCCTGGAAGACAATCCAAGTAAAACATCGTTTAGGTTGTTTAACATCACAGGGCAGGCAGAGAGCCGAGGTTAAAGCAGGAACCATCCCCTGCTCTGTTTATAGTCTGACAGTCACCCTAGTCTACCTGAATCACGTATTTACATGAAAGCATGTCAAAGTATCTAAGGCAATTTAATAAGATAATGAGGGCTGGAGTGGGGGGCGCGTTGGAGCGCAAAGATGGAACACCTGCATAGAATTCATAAAGCCTCGACTCCAGCTGCCAAACCCCCCTAACCCCCTCACCCCCACCCCAAAAGTCCAGACATAATACAGACAGAGATAACTGGGTTTAAGCCCTCACGTTCTAACAGGTTCCTGAATAAAGATGCTGGACCTTACCTCCCACAGACCACTCCACTACTCCCCCACCTTCTGGGAAGTGTGGACCTTGAGACATATCTAGCTGGAAGAAGCATTACCTGGCTCAGCCCAGAGATCCTCCCATCAGGCCCTATGACTTTCTGGCAGGACCCTTCCACGAACACACTAAGGCACACTCACTTGTACAGTTCGATGACGGGTTTTGCCGCATCCTTGTACCGTCGTAGTTTGGCAGCAACTGCTTCGGGTTTATCATCTTCTTGTTGGACAAGTGGCTCACCAGTGATATCATCAACCCCCTAAAACATCAGAGGAGCCAGTTAACACGGCCAACCAGTGGCCATTTCCAAGGTCAGAACTTTCTTGTACCGCACCACATGATCAAAGTGAACTCTAACCACATCTACAAACCCAAGCCTGGGGCTTCGCTATGCTGGCCTCATGTCCCGAGAAGGGCACTAAATCTTCCTTGACTATTCATATCTTTATAAACACGTGCCGGTGCTACACCTAAATGGTACTTTTAACACTGTCTAAATTCTGGGAATCCTCCCTAAACAACATACCTACATAATGCCATGCTGGCCCCACTAAATAGCCCCAAACTGCTTTTTTTTTTTCCTTCTAAATTCTGGCTTCTTATGGTGGGACGGAAACTGATTTCAAGACCCAAACTGAGGAGCGAGCAAGGTGGCTCACAAACGAAGGTACTTGATGCCAAGCTTCATGAACCTGGACCCACAAGGAGACTCCTGCAAATTGACCTTAGTCACCCACATTTGTGCCATGGGACCCGCACAAGTATATATCCATATGAACATGGATACAAACAAGTAACTGATAAAAGGAGCAAAAACAGGGGGAGAAAATGGTTCTATACCATCTGTCAGCTTTCACACTGCTATGGAGCAATCCTCTGAAAAACCAACGACACACCCTGAGGTTTATCAATAGGTCTGATTCCAACACCCAGGACCATCAAGGACAAGCATTTTAAGAAATGAGACATTTAAATATATAAAATTTTCAGTGGAAGGCCGGGCGATGGTGGCGCACGCCTTTAATCCCAGGACTCGGGAGGCAGAGGCAGGCGGATCTCTGTGAGTTCGAGACCAGCCTGGTCTACAGAGCTAGTGCCAGGACAGGCTCGAAAGCCACAGAGAAACCCTGTCTCGAAAAACCAAAAAAAAAAAAAAAAATTTTTTTTCAGTGGATGTGGTTGCACATGCCTTTAATGCTAGCAGAGGCAGGTAGCTCTGTCTGTAAGTTCAAGGCCCACCTGATCTACATCATTAGCTCCAGAAGAGCCAGGGACACACACCAGCAAATTTCCCTTTTGGTACTTTGAATCCCCTAGGAAGCACAGCGACCTACACACAGCACAGTAGTAGCATCAGAATTCTGCTCCCAAGCCCATACCATCCTCTCTAGGGAAAGCTGCAGAGTAAATCTGTCAAAAGACAGGCTAGGGAGGATCTACAAGACTCCGGCAACTCACATGGACCATGAGAAGCTGCCTGGGAATTTAAAACACACTGTAATCCTGTTACAGCTGGGGGCCACACTGATGACACATGACAGTACACACCATTATCACAGGGTCAGCATGCAGAAACACAGAGGCCGTGACTGATCTGTTTTACTGATTGCCACAATGCTTAAAGTAGCAGCAAACAGTGCTGCTTCCAGAAGAAAGAGAAGGACACCCGGGAAGCAACCTCACTCTACCCTGGGGAAACACCAGTGGCTGGTGGAGCTGGCCATTCACTTTCACTTCTGTCTCTGGAAACAGCGTTCACTGTCATCAGGGGTTCCTTTCAGGTAGAGTTGGGCTTTGGAAAGTAACACTTCAGTAAGTAAAGCTTTTCAGATATTGTAAGAATTGATGAGCATGTCTGAATAAGGCCAGGGGAGCCTTTGAGCTTCCGCTTCCAAGTCCTTTCTTCTCTCCCCTTTTATTTTCCTATCGCCATATCTTGGATTACACTTCAATGGCACCCTGTCTACCCAGCCACTCAGAAGGCAAGAACCTGCCCAGTCAAAACAATGAACCTGGGTCTATGGAATAAGTGAGAGACTGAGTGAGCAAAACAGTTAGCTAGGGTGGGGTCCTCTAATGCTCATCACAAATGAACTGGCACCATTAAGGGCAATATTGGCACAATGGCGACCAGCCGTGGTGATACCACCTTAAAGTAGCTTTCACTGTTTCCATCTACATTCAAGGCTTTTTCCATATAAAGATTTGATACCATGCTACCTATTCCGGTCCAGAGATAACAGGCAGAATTCATGCATTAGTTCAATCAGCCATTATCAGGGAGTCAGGAGGAAAAAAAAAAAATCAACAGAAAGATAATCACAAGTATCCTGAACCAGACATGGGATGCACACCCAGAATCTCTCAGGCCTTTGGAAGACCAAGGCTAGAGAACTTTGAGTTAGAAGCAGCCTGGGCTACCTATGGGGGGGGGGGGGGTTAATCAGGAAACGGAGGTGTACCTCTGTGGTAGGATTCTTGATAAGCGTACACAAGGGGCTCAGGGGTTCTCATCCCCAACACAAAAGGGCAGAGAAAACTCCATAGTTATTCTTTTGACCAATTCTGTAACCTAAGAGCACGCAGACACAGTCCTACAGATGAACATTCCTTTTATTTGCTTTTGGGGCACTGTAAACACTGAAACAAGCAACCATTCTCACAAATGTGCGTGGTCATGTGGCTCCACAAGGGATCGCCCCAGCACTGAGTCTGAGGTCAGTCTAGTCAACATAGTGAGATCCGGGACAGCCAGACCCAACGGCCATCAACAGCTAGGTGTAGGAGCACACACCTTTAATCCCAGCACTCAGAAGGCAGAAGCAAGCAAATCTCTGTGAGTTCCAGGACAGCCACAACTGTTACACAGAGCACTATCTCAAAAAGCCCCACCCCCAAAAAATAAACAAATAAATGTCAATAGTTTAATAAAAAATCATGAAACAAAAAGGAGGAGGCCACTTTCCCCAGGTCGCCAGCAAGGCTGCCTTGCTAAGCCTTTAGTCCTAGCTCTCCCCTTTGACTATGACTGAATCTCAACTTTGTCTATGCTTCTTGGCTATATAGATTTTATTTTCCCTGAACAGGATGCTCAAGTCCCCCACCCAGCACGCAGTCTATCTTACCAGCACTTGAGGAGGGTTGAAGTCCAAGTTATAGACTCTCCCGCTAGAAGGGTGAATCCATCTTCGGCTCAGACGATCTTTAAGTGTCTCAAAAGGGATATTCAGACTAATCACTAGGTCCACATCACAGATTCTGTCCAAGGCTTCTGCCTGTACTAACGTCCTCGGGAACCCTAAGGGCCAAAACAAAAGATCAATTGCCAGACACGGTCCATTGAATATGGGGAATAATAAAAATCTACACAATCCAAAAGGGAGCTAACTAATAATTTGTAACTACATCTGTAAATATGTTCTTTCATAGCCCAGATCACATGCGTGGTCTAGGAGTCCTAATGATTCCGAGCAGACTGCACTGAACTGAATGAAAGGCACTAGCCCAGCTGGGGCCAAGCTTTGCCTTGAACAACCCCACGTGCTGCTGAGCAAGTTCTACTTTCCTCGTGTCTTCTTCTATAGGGAGAGTATAGGGATAGTCTTCCTCCTATCTGGTGCCTTCTAGCTTACCAGTCTGTTACCACAAGTAACTGCAGGCCTGTCTTTGAAACCCTGAATCAACAGGCGCCTTTACCCAGACAATCACCTGGCCCTTTATGTACCATGTAACCTAACAATTCCATACGGCGCTCTTGAAGCATGCCAGGAAAATGGTTGCAAACTCTCACGATTCCAGTATTTGGGAGGCTATACCAAGAGGGTCGTGAATTCCAGGCCAGTCTGGGAAATAAGTGAGAACCTGTCTCAAAAAAAATTTTTTTTTACCTAATATATCTAAGCCTGACTACATGGTAGTACACACCTTTACACCCAACACTGGGATCAGCAGACCTTTGAGGGTAGCATGGTCCTATAGCAAGTTTCAGGTCAGCCAAGGCTTTTTATAGGGAGATGATCTTTAGCTAAGCCGATTGCAAAAATAACTAGTCCTTTGAAAATGATTTGCTGCAAAAATTATAGATCTGTCTTTTCTAAGTGTGGGAAAATATCAAAATATAAATCTGGGCTCATGGACATTGTCTTTTTTGTTTTTGATAATAAAGTATGAGTCTCAGTCACAGCGTTGGCAGTGGCTACGGGACAGGGAAGGCTAGCTTGCCTTTTTTAGTTCATGCCCACTAAACAACAGTGGTTAGAAGGGGCAGACCTTGAAGAGACTCATCGGGACAAGTGTGGTATCCTAGCTCAAAGGCCCTGGAAATATTCTGAGCCTCCACAGACATCTGGGCTTCTGTCACGGGTACTGGAAAGCAGGCTGTCGCTTTGAGTAGACTACTCAAAGTTTAACTACTTCCAAGATTTTCAAAGTGGAATTCTTAGCCTCGGCTTTATATTCAGCTTTATGGTTCAGACCTAGACAGGAATGCAGACTAGGGTCTTGGGGCCTAGAGGTGATAGGTGGTAGGTGGTGCCTTCTTCAAGTTGGTCTACATCACCGTCTCAAGCTGGTATGGGCACAGCAAGTCATTTGGATGTAATTCTAACATCGCAGGCTACCACGAACACCACGAGGGAAAGCGCGGTGAGCCTGGCTCTTTAACCACTGGCGGCACATGCCATTTTGAAATGAACGAGCTGAAAAAGAGTACAATGTGAAGACCTATCGACTAATGTCTGTGTGAATGAGCTATTCATAGATGCTAGGAGCCGTACAATCTAGTTTCCGGCCAGCATATGAATGCTTGTCCAGCACGTCTCCGGGTGAGGCAAAAGCCCACGTGCAGGGACAGTCTCAGTCAGCTAGGACCAGTGGCCTTCGGGACAGCACGGACTACTGCTGGGAGCATGCAGCCTGCGTGTTCTCTTCTCTCTTGTAATATTGATGATTTTTTTTTTTTCTGTTTTGGTGTCATTTTGTCAATCATGCATGGAACAAATATGATCATTTCTGAGAACCCCGGTCTTTTCTCGAATATTTTCCCTAAAATTCTTTGGAAGCCGGCGTTTCTCGGGTTTCTTGTCTGGGGGTGCCAGCTGTCTCTTCAGACCCCGGGAGCTGTTCTGATTCGGTGCTGACAGGGTCGAAAGCAGATCACCCCTATTTCTGTAAGTATGTTTTGAACGATATGTTCTTGAAAATGTGTGCCTATGTTTACCGCCCTTAGTTTTGTAAAGACAGGGTGTGCCCAGTTCAGTGTTGGGCCAAGCTAGCAAAAGGATGAGTGTTGTTCTGGGTTGAAAGATGTTTTGATGGAAAAGCTGGGGGAAACCATATGTGGCACATTTGTTTTTGCCGGAGGTTAATGTTGAAGGATGGGGGTGGGGGGACCGTGTTTGTTAGTATGGTTTGTAAGTAAAGATGGCTGGAGGTATTCGGGGCCAGTCACTTGTGTGAAACCCATCTGGTGGAAAAGACACTCCACTTCTTCACCATCGCCCCTTCCCCAGCTCAGGGTCTGAACCCAGGCTGCACCTGGACCACAGCAGATAAGAGACAGAGGGAGGGAGATTAAAGAAATGTACGCATTCTGTTTCTCTGATCTATATAGCTAGCATTTGATATTTATTTGATCCCAGTTCCCTTCTAGAAGATTGACTCTGGGCACTGAGTGAGACTCAAACTCCTGGAACAATGACTGAATTGTTAGGGTATTGGCTTGTGAAAAGACCCCCTATATAAATTCCAAGTTAAAATATGATCCATGAAAAATCTTCAAATAGAAATATCCATATATTAGTCAGGTGGTGGTAACTCATGCCTTTAATCCCAGTGCTGGGAAGGCAGAAGCAGGCAGATCTGTGTGAGTTCTAGGGCAACCAGGAATGTTACAGAGAGAAACCCTGTCTCGGGTGGGGGGAGACAAAGAGGAGAGAGGGAGGGAGGGAGGGAAGAAGAAAAACCCATATTTAAGAGAAGACAGTTACGGGGGTGTGGCGAGCAACTCAGCAAAAGGGAAGCTGTGAGATCCTGGACTCAAAACTTGTGCTTGCACATGCATACACATACAAGGGAGAGAGTGATGGGAGAAACAGAAGGAAGGAGAAAGGGAGAGGAGGGCAAGACAGGCAGAAAATGTGAATCTGACTGAACAGGCTACTACTCACAATGGTGAGCCCAGAGAACCGCGGACCCAGTGTGGTACCTACCCCACTAAACTCAGATGCTGACAGACCCTATGAGACCTGGGCAGGGCCTATTTCTGAAGTGCCCAGAACTCAGGAGCTGCCACCTGGGCAGGATGGTGAACGTGGATGGGCTGCACGTGCACACTTGGTCAACAGGTGGCAGCATTTACAACTTTTCCATGCATAGAGAATTACAACTGGGCAAGGAGGAAGGGAAGGGGGGCGGGGGCTTGATGTGATTCTCAGGTCAGTTTGGTGATAGAAGAAGGCCCAGCCTCAGAGACAGTATCAGGGAAAGGGATAGAAAATTACCTGAATGAATGTTTGGGGGACAGGATGCTAGCTGCCTTGTGTCTGATTAAATATCACAGCAAAACAAAAGACCATGCTAACACCTGGTGCCTGCCTCCCGTGCATGGCTTCACGGCTTACAGGACTGTCTTCCTCATTCTCCCACACCTATCACCACTTGCCCCTTACTTAACCCAACCGAGAAAACATGCTCTTGCCCAGGCCAAACAGCTGCTCGAGATGGCCAGCTTGGAACTGCCACACTGCACCAACAGGCCTGTCCCCCAAATCCTCAAGGATCTGTGCGGGACAGTGACAAGTGGCGAGATTCCTTCTGGCTGCTGGGACTTGGCGCCTGGCTCCCCTAACCTTGCCACAAGCCTGGGGAGGGCAGCTGGAGCAGGATGCCACGGCAGCAGCTAGGGGCAGAGGCGAATGGAATGGAATCGGGCTGCATCTGTTTTTCTAACTTAGGGGGGTGCAGAGCCAGGCACAACAGGACCTCTGCCTGGTGGAAGCAGCTGGACAGGTCTGCAAGGCCACTGGATGTAGCAACCCTGTTCCTCTCTGAGAGAGAACCATCACAGCTGGCCTCAGTTCCATTCTTCTAAGAGAGTTTCCCAGTAGAAATGTACGTCAACCAACATCTGCCCGGGCTGGCTGGCACCTGGAGAGTGGTCCCTCCCCCATCTATCAAATCTACAGTCACTTCCACACATCCCAACGGGGGGGGGGGGGGGGGGGCTACTCCCAGTTATGAGCCACAGGGACCAGCTATGGCAGGAGGCAGGTGGCATTCTCCCAGTCTTACCTAGCAGGGAGTGTAAACTGTTCACACTAAGCCCAGAAATCCTTAGGAACCACAGTGAAGCTTATGTCACAGAGAGGGCCTTTTCTCTTCCCCTTGTGTGACTATCCCGTGTTTACCTATGCAACCTCTGGAGCCCTTCTCACTCCACCCTTAGGAATGGTGAAAAGAGGAAGTAGTAACTTAGAAAGCCAACAAAGGGGCTGTGGGCTCTGCTGTGCCGAGCACTCTAGAACCCCACCTGCCCCCCCACACACACACACACTCCCAGCTCACTGCAAGGGTCCTGGGAGACATGGAGAACTCTGAACTAACAGTTCCTAGCATGTCTGGTATTTACATGATGATTCATAACAGTAGCAAAGTTACAGTTATGATGTAGTGACTAGGGCTGGGGTCACCACATAAAGAATTGTGTTAAAGGGTCGCAGCCCAAGGAAGGCTGAGAAGCACTGCTCTAGAACCTGAAATACTGGATACAAAAGATGTGCACCAAGGGGCCCTGCCCTTTAGAGCTTATGAGAAAATGGCTGAGCAAAGAACTGAGAGAGACCAATGCTGGAGTGTGTTGGGCGGGGGTTTCCAATTCAGAAACTGCACTAGACAGCACAAACCTATATCCCAGCCCATGAGAGGGTCCTGGTTCACTCTCCCATGAGAGTCAATTATTAGAGGCAGGAGAATCTCTGAGTTTGAGGCCAGCCTGGTCTACAGAGAAAGTTTCAGGACAGCCAGGGTTACACAGAGAAACCCTGTGTGTGGTGTGGTGGTGGTATTAAATAAAAGAAAAAGAAGAGCCCATTATTGAGAGATGCCAGGGCAGGAATCACGGAAAGATGCTTACTGACTTGCTCCCAGGCCTACATGCAGCCGTCTTCCCTAGACTTCTCAGAACCACCTGCCCACAGCAATCAACAGCCGTGAAATTCCCACACAGACATACAGACATTCTCCTAGGTCAGCCCGAGGGAGGCCGTTACTCAGCCACTGTGTCAGGCTAACAAACGAACC